AGTCAGGGGCTGCACCGGTTCTTCATTAAGGTCCACCTGGATGACCATCCAATCTTTCGCTTTGAGAGCCTCACCAGGAAGATGGAGCCTCTGGTGCCCTGGATGGAGGAGGCAGGGAAGAAGTTTCTGATCCCTGAGTGGATCTTCAGGGCTGACATGGAGACGTTATCAAAACTGGACCAGGAGGCTGGAGGTGAGCAGAGCCAGGGACATCAATGCCTGCTGGAAAGGAAAGAAGGCCCCAATCCCACCCCCCACAATTCTCTCTCCCACCCAGAAATTCTTCATGGGCGGACCTCAAACAGGGTTAGCTGAAGTAAGAGACATTTCTTCTTGTCTGAAAAAGAGGAGAAAGAGAAACTGGGTTTCTCTCCCCAGGGGGGAAGAGAAGGTAACTCTATTTATTCTCTAAGGAGAGGAATCCTGCACCCTTTTCATTCACCTCCACCGCCTCTGGGTCTCTTTTAGGGCTTCGTACCTGGCAGGTGAATTTGGGCTGTGAGCTCAGGGAAGATGGGAGCAAAGGAGGGTTTTTGCACTATGGCTACGATGGGATGGACTTTATCAGCTTCAACAAGGAGATCCTCTGGTGGGTGCCAGCTCAGCCCCTGGCCCAGAAGGTGAAGGAGGAGTGGGAGGAGGATCCAAGATGGTCCCAGGAAAGTAAAGTCTTCCTGGAGGAGACCTGCATTGCGTGGCTGAAGAGATACCTGTCCTACAAGAACAAGACTCTGGAGAAGATAGGTGAGTGGCAAAAAGGGGGCTCCCCTGATCAGGTTTCTACGGGCTCTCCCCCCCCCATTTGATCTCTGTCCTACATAGCCAATCCACCCTCTGCAGAAAAGGGTCAGGAGGTACCTCACATCCTATTACGGGAGGAAAATAATCTTCAATGCCCCCCCAAATAAAGACAAAGAAACTGACCAGGAAAATAAGATCTAGTCCTATTGAAGTGACGTTCACTCCAATGTTCCCATCTTTGTGGGTCTCACAGCTTCAGAGGAGGAGAGGGAAGAGAGGGAGAGGAGGGCCAAAGGAGGACTTGATATTTAAATCATCTTGCCAAAAACTCTAGAAATT